GCCCGCGGCCATGAGCGCGGCCGGGCTCGTGTCCGCGCCGCCCGCAGCCCCGCCGGGGCCGCCCGCCCCCGCCATGGCCCCCGCGCCCGACTACTACGAGGAGGAGGAGCTGGAGAGCGCCGAGGAGGAGGACGGCGAGCGGAGCGCCCGGGCCCGCGACTCCGACGAGGGTGAGTGGGGAAGGGGGCGGGTCGGTGCTCTGGGACGGGGTGGGACAGCGGGGGGCTCTCGCAGGGGGTGGTGTGGGGTGGAGGGGAGCGCTCCGCACAGAGTTTGGGGAAGGGCTGCGTGGTTAAGGGGTTCCGAGCGGCGAGAGCGCCCGAGGGAAACGAGGACCTGTCAGGTTGCAGCGGTTCCCCGCGGGAGAGGAGAGAGAAGCCGCTGGAGAGGCGGAGTTGTGGCTTCCCAGGTAAGAKGGGAGAACGCTGAGCAGGGGGATTGAGTGGGGCAGCAGCGTAAAATCAGTGGAGAAATTGCTTCTCTTTCGGTGGCGTGAAGYGGGAAGGTGGCAGCTGAGGGAGGAGAAAGTGTGGAGAAAGTATAGGAACACAGGAGGAAGTGACTGTAGAAGAACCCGAGAGATGGGGAAATTAAGTAAAACTCAGAGTATCCGGGAGTGCAGAGTGCATAAAATAACAAATAAGGGGAATGGAGAAAGACCCTTGGACAGTGCCTGTTGCTGCTTGCAGAGCCCTCCATCCCCTCWGGCCTGGTTGTGGATGGGATGTTAAAGGTGCTGGGGGTGACAGGATACAAATGAGTGAAAGCTCKCCCAACAGACTATGGAAGTCCCTTCTGATGGCCTAGGCATTTAATGCATTTCTTGGAGTTAGAAAACTTTTTTGTTATCTATAGTGTGTTAGATTTTATCTTAAGCTTAAACTGTTTGTAGTTTAAGAAAAATCTGRGAAAGGTTTGGTTTAAGGGGCTGGGTCCCCCCTTCCAGTGTAGGGAATTAGCTGTGGTTTAGGTTTCTTAGCTGTGCCCTGTAAAGTCTGGAGGCACTGACCCCYGCTTGGAAAGGTAATGATTTCTTGGCTGCCCATATTTTATAAATAGAAGCCTGAAAAGTCTTAGAAGAAAACCAGCAATCCCACAGTGGTTTGCTTTATTTATAGTTTATTTATCTGTTTATACAATGCAGCTATCTTTATGGCAGTGCTGGTATATATTGAATGTTGAAGTGCTTCTGAGTGCAGTGTAGCTGAGAMGTTCAGATCCCAGTCAGTAACTGCTGTCTTTGGTGAGACCTTTGTGGTCAAACCGAGCAGCACTGAGTGGGTGGAACTCTAGTAACAAGTTTGTGAAATGTTTTTCAGAGTCTTTGGGCTGTTTGTCTCTCACCTGTGAKTATTAATGTAGAGCCTGCTGTCTTMAAAGGGAATAAATTCCCAGGCTCTCTGAAGATGAAGTTGTTCAGACCTGATGTCAAGTTGCAGGAAGCAGATTAAATGGTTTATTTCATTCCTGAATTCATCTCTCAGATTGTGTCTTTGATGTTAAATGGCCCGAGGTTTGGGGATTTATTTTGTTTATTTGCTTGTTTTTAAATAATTTACTATTTAAATTGTTTTTGGTTTTTTTTTTCAAATACTTTTTTAATTTTAGCAAGGTTTTTTTTGCCTCATTCAGACACGGAGGATGCCAGCGAAACAGACCTGGCAAAGCAYGAGGAGGAGGATTTTGTAGAAATGAAAGAACAGTAAGTAACCCATTTCAATCCCCAGTAATACGATATTCTGTTTATTTGTGGGTGTGGAGGTGTTTATTGCCTGAAACTTGGGAAAGACTACAGATTCTTTAAATAAAATAAAGGCTCTGTTTTAGATAAACTAAGGAAAAGCAAGAGGCCTATCCAAATACCATAAACAATTGAATTCTAGTCCTGAACCAGAAATGTATTTTTTGGAGACTTTAAATAGTTTCCCCATAATGTTTAGGAGCATTTGCAGTATTTTGAGTTCTTACTTGCTGGCAGAGACCTGTTTTTATTCAGGAAGACTTGGCCAGTGTTAAACCACAGATACGGGGTAATAGAAATGCCGGTTTGCAGCTGCACCAGAAAGAGACTTTGGCTTTTTAAAAATAATGTGGGGAGCTAATACACAGATTATAAAATTTGACAAAGTGACAGAATGATTCTGCTGTAAAGTTTCTGGTGTTTGTAGATTTAAATGTMATTTTAGATTTCAATTGAAAACATAAATCGTTTTTTATCCCAAATTGTTAACCCATTGTAGAACCAAAGAAGYGCCAGAACTTTTAAGACAGAATGAGAAGTTTTCATTTGAATAAAATTCTTTTAGTTCATAGTTAATTTGCTTCCTGAAGTTCAGAAAAGTTTTTAGTTCTGTGTAAACCTGTGTTAGCTCTAAGAGATGTGGAATAAACTCCTTGTGCTTGGTGTTCAGAGTTTCATGCTGTGTTTKCAGGATGTATCAGGACAAGCTGGCATCTCTGAAGAGGCAGTTACAGCAATTGCAGGAAGGTAAGCTTTGAAAAGTAGCTTTAAAAAATACTTTTAGTACTTTTGAAATGCCATAGAAGGATGGGGGTCTTTAACACTTGGGGAAAAAAATTTTGTTGGAATCTACAATTAATTTATTTCCACTAGGTACTCTTCAGGAATATCAGAAAAGGATGAAAAAGTTGGACCAGCAGTACAAAGAGAGGATACGAAATGCAGGTAAGTGGAATTTCTCTCTAAGACGCTGCAAATAACTTAAATGTGTGTTTTATAGAACACCTGAAGGAAAAAAARRRGKWAWT